ATTGAAATGAAAACTGACCTTTTCGAGTCCTGTGGCCACTGCTGAGTTTTCCACATTTGCTCGCATATTGAGTACAGCCCTTTCACAGCATCATCTTTTAGGATTTGAAATAGCTCAGCTGGAATTCCATCACCTCCACTAGCTTTGTTCGTAGTGATGCTTCCTAAAACTCATTTGACTTCGCATTCCAGGATATCTGGCTCTAATCCAGTGATCACACCATCGTGATTATCTGGGTCGTGAAGATCTTTTTTGCATAGTTTCTCTGTGTATTCTTGCCACCTCTTCTTATCATCTTCTGCTTCTGTTAGGGCCATACCATTTCTTTCCTTTATTATGCCCATCTTGGCATGAAATGTTCCCTGGGTACCTCTAATTTTCTTGAAGAGATCTCTAGTCTTTCCAATTCTGCTGTTTTCCTCTATTTCTTTGCATTGATCACATCCCCATACAAAATGGGAATAGAGAGCAGGACTCCTTGCTATCTCTTTTACTTAGCAAAATTCTTCCAAGGACACCCCCATACCAGCAGACTTAGCTTTATGCTTCACTGGCCCAGGGTTGGGTTTTATACTCACCTCTAAGCCAAACACTGACCAAGGGAAATAGGTTTTTTATGTTTGACTTAGCTCAGTGGTTCGCCAAGTTAGCAGGCCAAACACACTCTTCTTATAGCAAATGTATTTTGCCCAGTTTCCCTGAAGTAAATTCATAGATTATATAACCTATCTGCACATATATTTTAATAATCAATAAAGTATCCTGACAGTAATTTAAAGGAAAACTAAAAAGGAAATTGATTTATAATTAAGCTATATATTGAGCCTATGAACACTTAGCACAAGTACCTTAGCGGGCGTAACGAAGCAGGTGTTTACATTGGGGCAGAATCATGTAGATCTGACAGCTCCAAATGCAGTGAGATACATACAGATTTTTTGCTTCGACAGCTCAAAGACCACTGGGACTATAGCCATACGCAATTTGCTTTTCCAAAATAGAGAACAACCTACCAAAATTTCCGAGTGAACCAAACTACCGTCATCCCTCAAGTTCCCTAGTGATCATATTCCCGGAAGACTTGGTTTAGGATAGAACTGCACAAAAACATCTTTGGTGTTTATATGTGAAATGGAGTTCATGTCTAAGGTCAGGCAGTGTAAAAAGCTATTTCACCTCTGTGGATGTCTGGCGGGATGTTAGAAAGTCGTGCTGGAAATGGGGTGATTCTTCACTGTGTGGAGCATTGTGAATTATCCACCTTCCCTGCACCCCCACTAGACCTCAGAAGCACCCCCCAGTCACATGACAACCGAAAACTCACGAATTCCTGAGAAACACCTCTTGGTGGGGCGATTTCACCCCCCTGAGTCTACTGGCTTAGACTAATGCTGGTTGTTGCCAGAGGGCAGCAAGTTCCACCCCCTGTGGACCAAAGAACGGCCAGAAGGGAAGGCACATGCAGTTTCTGCCTCATAGTTGTCCCCAGGCTCCTTTCTGCCCCTCACCCTCCTATTGACATATCCCTGAAGTGTCCCGGCCGGTCCAGCAAGCGCGATAAACCCACGTGGTTGGCACGGACTGGTCTCTGCTGTGAATGGGGTGATGAGTTCTTGGGCTCATCTGGGTATCGGTGGTTTCCACCTGGGCAGGAGATGAAGCTGGTACAGGTGATCGCACAGAAGAACTCGCTGAGAATCCATGTGTCATAGTGGGTAAGGGCATGGGCTCCAGAACCAGACTTCCTTGTTCAAATCCCAGCTGGGCCCCGCCGAAGCTGGGTGGAGCTGGCCAAGTCACTTAACCTCTGTGAGCCTCAGATACCTCTTCTGTAAAACGTAGGTAATCCCAGTAGCATCCTCCTAGAGTTACTGTGAAATACCAGAACAGTGTGTGGGCGCATGGGACATTGCCTCAAAAGGCAGATATTATTATTGCTTATATTTGTAGATACTTTTTAGCTTTTTTGAGTTGAGATATAATTGACATGTAACACTGTATTCATTTTAGATATATACACATAACGATTTGATATATGTACACATTGCAAAATGATTACCCCAGTGAGTTTTAACATCCATCCCACACATACTTAGTTTTTTTTTCTATGATAAGAGCTTTTCAGATCTACTGTTAGCAACTTTCAAACATACAATATAGTTTGTTAATTATAGTCACCACGCTATAACTCACATCCACGAGACTTACTTATTTTATATCTGGAAGTCTGTGCCTTTGACCCCCTTTACCCATTTCACTTATCCTTCACCCGTCAGTTTTGCAATCACCAACATGCTGTCTTATCTGTGAGTTCAGTTATGAGTTTGGTTTTTTAGATTTCACTTATAAGTGAGATCATGCAGTATTTGTCTTTCTCTGACTTATTTCACTTAGTATAATGCCCTTAAGGTCTATCTGTGTTGTCACAAATGGCAGAAGTTCTTAATTTTTATGGCCGAATCATCCACTGTAGAAGTATACCACATTTTCTTTGTCCACTCATCCATCAATGGACTCTGATTGTTTCCATATCTTGGCTGTTGTAAGTAATGCTTCAGTGAACACGGGGTGTACAGATAGGTTTTTGAGGGATTTCATTTCCTTAGGATTAATACCCAGAAGTGGAATTGCTGGATCGTGTGGCAGTTGTAGTTTTAATTTTCTGAGGAACCCCTACACTGTTTTCCATCATTGCCGCATCAGTTCTTTTCCGCTTTGAAGTGCTTTTACACCTAGCATCCTGTGTGGTCTTTTCAGCCACTCTGCTTATGAGAAAGGCCACTGGTCTCCCTCCTACTGCTGAGAAACGTCCAGCTTAGAGAGACGGCAGCAGGCTGAAGGCAGGACTGGGCTCAGGGCTCGATTCTGTGACTTCTGAGCTGATGAGCTGTATCATGTTCGCCCCCTTCCCTGCCCTGCCCACCTCCTCTCTTGGGCCTCGGCAAGGCCCTCTTAGGAAAGGAGCTGACCTGGGGACAGACCTCGAGGACAGGGCCCTGAGTCTGTCCTCGGAGCCCAGGGTGGGGCTCGTCGCCATGTGGACAGGGAGACGCCCGTGAGTAAGCAGGAGTTCCTAACCGAATCTCCGGGGGGGCTCTTAAGTTCCAGTGCCCACGCCGTACCCAGACCAACAAACTCAGCACGCCGGGGAGTGGGACCCCGGCATCAGGCTGTCTTACAGCTTCCAGATGATTCCAACGTACAGCTGAAGTTGGAGGGCTCCTGAAGCAGGAGAGTAGGTGCCTGATGGGGTGCATTTCTGCAAAGTCACAAAAGGGCTTGTGGGGGCTGGCAACTCCTCAAAACAACGCTCCCTCCAGGGGCCTGCTGCACCCATAGTAAAGTCTGCTTGGCCCCGCACTGCCTGGCCTCCGCTTCCGTCTCTGCACACCCCTCTAAGCGCGTGGCCCGCAGACACACTGGCCTCCTCTGCCTTCGGATGCCTCTGTCGAAAGTGCTGAAGCGAGAGCTGGAGAGAAGAGACATGTGGGTTTCGGGTTTTCCTCACCCCGGGCCCACGTCGCTCGGTCCATTACTTGCCTGGCCCACGTGGGCCTTGGTGTTTGCCTTTTGTTGCTACACTTTGCTCACACCAAAGGGCCACCCTCCTAGGGGCAATATGTTGCAATTTCGTTTATTTTAATGATGATAAAATCTAGTATCTATGGGGTACTTGTTGCCAAGCGTTTAGTCATCGGTAAAGTGTTCGTTGCTCAATCATGTCTGACTTTCTTACAACCCCATGGACTGTAGCCCACCAGACTCCTCTGTCCATGGGATTCTCCAGGCAAGAATACTGGAGTGGGTTATCATTTCCTTCTCCAAGGGATCTTCCTGACCCAGGGATTGAACCTGGGTCTCCTGCATTGCAGGCAGGTTCTTTACCATCTAAGCCACCAGGGAAGCCCTTTAATCATCATGACAATCCTTTTAACCAGGGCCTGTTATCTCCATTTCAAAGTTGAGGAAACTGAGGCAGAGGATGTGATGGCCTCACCGGAAAAGGGGGCTCAACTTGTTAATCTTTGTAGCAGCCTACCAGCTGTTTGAAACTGATTGAAAGAATGAATGAATGATGTTCTCCGCTAAGTGTTCTTCTGAGTAAAGCCACTGTCCCCAGGAGACAAAAGTCTTGACTCACCGTAGGAAAACTTTCAGGCGCAGGAACAGGCTCTCATCAGTGTCATTCCAGGCTCTTTAGCCGTGTGTCTGCTGTGTAACAGATCACTCCCAGCTCAGTGGCTTAAAGCAAAGATTATTTCTAACAAGATTATGGGTTGCCAGGTGGTTCTCAATTTGAGTGATGCCAGCTGGAAGGTCCAAAATGGCTCCATCCGAATGGCTGTCAGCAACTGTTGGTCCAGAAACGGGTGCTCACGTGCGGCCGTCAGTTGAAGGGCTCCATCCTCCTCCACGTGGTCTTTTCCCTTGGCTGCTTGTACCTCCTCACAGTGTAGCGTCTCAGGATAGCCTGACTTCTAAGACCACACATGTAAAAGCTGCCAGGCCTTCTTAAGGCTTCCGCTTCGCAAGTTCTGGGGGCCTAGGGGCAGGAGTGGCCAGCAGCCTCCTGGAGGAGGGGTTCCAATGAGATAAATGCCCCCTGCTTTTTCTGTTCTTAACATTCCATTTGAGGGTCAGGGGCCCAGTAAGAGAGTCTGGCCAGCTTTGGTCATGTGATCACCCTTTGGTGACATGGCAGGAGACGGTGGGGCATCTTAGCAGGAGAGAGAGAGAATCCTCAAAAGGAAATTGGGGTGCTGTTGTCAAGAGAAGGGGACCAGATGCTGGCCAGAAAGGAGGACCTAGAAACCTCTGCACAGCCCCTGAATAAGGGGCTCTGCCCCAGGATGAGCAGCTAGCATTATAGAATGATTGGATGGAGGATGGATGGATGAATATTTTTCGAGTCTACCATAAGTGTATGCCCAAGTCTGTATGATGCTGTTCCAGGCAGGGGTGCCATATTTCAGGCACTGCTAGGGGTTTGGGAGCCCCACCTTCATTATACAGGCCAGAACTAGCTCCCAGAATCCAAGCCGTGCTCAGCATCTTCACCCCAAAGATGGGGCCGATTGAAGCTGGCCCTTGGAAAGGAGAGGGTGCTTGGTGGTAAGGGACGAGCCAGCCAAGTGGGTGGGCTCTTGCCTCCCCACCGTGGACACCAGGAGCCCGGGCCCCACTCCCTTTCTTCCAGCCACCGTGCACCCGGACAGCCAGGACACCTGCTGACACCCAGTGAGTCCCCCAGAGGCCGACCCCAGCTCCAAGAACCCCTCTGACCCCGGCGCTCCTCCCCATGGCGGTCTATTTCCAGCTGCTGCTAATTAGACAGCACAGCACGCCAGGGTTGGAAACAGATCTGTCATTCGACATTCTCCCTGACTTCCATCTCTAAATTTAGCGGGTTATTTGGTAAAAGTTGCTTTAGACGCCCTCCCCCGCCTGTGAGTACAAGCTTCTCAAATGATTGTAAGCTTCAGGCTGTTTCCAAGGTGAGCTAATGAGACACGCATCTGCTAATAGCAGGGTGTGATGAGTGAGCAGGATACACGCGGCTGTGGATTGGGTGAAAGGGGAGAAATAACTGCATTATAAATACCGGGCAGTCAAAATAGCCTTTCACCCCTTTTATGTGTATGCAAGAGACTGCAATCTCTGAAAACCTAAATACCGGGTCTGTGGGGGTAAACAGTGCTGAGAACATGTGGGGTTAACACATGGGAGGGGGTGGGACTGGAATCACCAGCCCTGGCCACGGCTGTCTACACCAAGAACCAGCCCACAATTAGGCGTGAATAATGACTCTGTTGAGGTCCGACTTTATTGCTTTTGGCCAAAGGCCTTTTGCAGAAATAACTCTGTAGCTCGCTGCCAGGGAAGCTTTTGTCCACAGCCAAGACAAAAGAACAAAGAACAGAGGTGGGAAGAACTGTATCTGATTCCTGTTTCCCCTAAACACCCAGGAAGGGTAGCAGGTGTGGCCTACCGGGAAAGCGTGGGCTGAGGGCAGGTGACATGCAACCTTACCTATGCCAGGCGACCACTCCTGCTTCCCGCTCCTGCCGTTCTGGTCTTTACTCTGATCTTCACATGGACCCTGCTCGTTCCTACCACAGGCCCTTTGCTTGTGCTTTTCCCTTGCTTAGAAAGCATTGTGCCCACGACTGACTTCTGCACCCCACTTCTGGTGTCAGCCCAGACACCACCTCCTAGAGGCCTCCCCTGATTTACCCTATCTTGTCATCCTGACAACTCCTTACAAGGCTCTTAAGAGCATCTGGAATTCATCTTCATTTGTTAAATATCTGTCTCCCCCACCAGAAGGTCAGCTCCTTCAAGACAGAGGCCTGGCCTGCCTCAGGTTTGCTGCTGTTTCCCAGCATTCCACACAGCGCTGGCACAGAGTAGGTGCTCAGAGAAGACCACACAGCTTCGAAGGGTAGCAAATGGGCCCCCAGGCAAGCTCCAGGGGCGCTTTGTTTGGCCTGCTCAGTTTAAAATGTAGTGGCTCTTTTGATTTTGCAAACGGCCCCTCCAGCAGGGCACTCCCCACCCCTCCCTGTGACCCTAAACCCTTGTCACTCACTCACGTCTCTAGCCTGGGCCCTGCAGGCATTTGAGTTTGTGTCCTCACTTTAGACGAAGGCCGCGGCACACAGATGTGTCTCCACGGGTGACCGTTACAACATCAGACTTCCTGTGAGCCAGCCCACCCGCCTCCAGCCCACCCAGTCCCACCGAGTGGATTGAGTCTTGGTTCCTGGTGGGCGGGACCCAGGGGTCCTCGTCCTAGGAGTCCCTGCCCGGGCGTTAATGATGAACTTCCTCGTGCTCTCTTTTGAGCCTCTGAGTCATCAAGGAGGCCTGCTCCCCTTGCAAGAAAATGTCCGGTGTCCTTGGCAAGCAGGAATTTAGCCGTAATGTCACTGTATTTGTTTCTCTGTGCTGCTGTCTGTTTATGGCCGGGGTTCTCACCTGGGGGGCGATTTTGCCCCCCTCCCCCAGGGGACATTAGGCAATATCTGGAGACGTTTTTTACCGTCGCCACTGGGGGTGGGTGCCTCTTGCGTCTAACAGGTGGCGGCCAGGGACGCTGCTCAACGTGCTGCAATGCGCAGCCACTGCAGAGGACGACGCAGCCCCGATGGCAGCAGTGCCCAAGTGGAAAGACCCCGGTTTAGGGCAGGCGGCGCTCATTCCCCGCGGAGGGAGGAAACTGCCTCCGTAACTGCATTTACTGAAATAAGAAAGGGGGTGAACAGAAAACCATCTGGCACAAACGCCAGTGCAGGTGATAAGCAGGACTTCCGAGACCCTGACATGTGGGGTGCTGGGGTCAAGGTCAATCAGGTCGCCCTCTGGGGAGCTGAGCGGACCATTAGCCCCACACCAGAAGCCCCTGCCCATCTTGCCAGAACACTCCTGGCAGCTGCCTATCAAACCCTAGCAGTCGATTCTGGGAGAAGCAACGTGCCCTCGGGCCGAGTTCTGGAAGGTGAGGAGCCGTGTGCAGCTCTCCTGCCCGGCCAGGCTGTCTTAACGTCCCTCCCAAACCCAGCCCAGCAGCCCCCAGCTGAAGTCTCCCACTGGGACAAGCCAGCAGCCCACCCATGCGACCAGGGCTGACAGCCTCATGGCCTGGGCAGCCTCCCAGTGGACGGTGACCCTGAGCAGAGGGTCACAGCCCACGTCAGCAGGAGGAAAGGACCCGGGCAAGTGAGGGCCAGTTCCCCAAAATCAGATCACCCACTTCTGTTTGGGTTCCTGTGATGAGGAGATGGCTTCCTTTCTACTTACAAAGAAGGGACTTGTTAAAAAGCAGGAGTAAGTCAATGTTTTCAATGCAGATCTAACTGGGGCACCTCTGTTCTCTGAAGTGGCACAGGAGGAGAGGCTGTTACCACACGCTCACGCCTAGGACAAGCTTGCTTTCTGCCTCTTCTGCTCCCTTCAGAATCAGCCGAGCACAGGCCCCATTGATCTAACCCCTTTGGGTCGTTCACAAAAGAGGAGAGGGGTTGGGGGAGCCTTCCGGTCACCCCAGGACTTCCTGAGGCTCAGGGATCTTTGATATGGGCGTGGGCACAAACTCCAAAGCTTGGCAGGTGCAGACAGATGGAGTCTGACTCAGATGCCGTTTCAGTTCCTAGAAGGGTGACGTGTGCAGGGGAGAGGTGCCACCCCCTGGTGTGCCCAGGCCTCCATAACTTGGCAGGGCCTCCTGTGTTTTCTTGGAGAAGGAAATGGCAACCCACTCCAGTATTCTTGCCTAGAGAATCCTGTGGATAGAGGAGCCTGGAGGGCTGTTGTCCATAGGGTCGCACAGAGTCAGACACGACTGAAGCGACTTTTCATGCACGCATGCATTGGAGAAGGATATGACAGCCCACTCCAGTGTTCTTGCCTGGAGAATCCCAGGGACAGAGGAGCCTGGTGGGCTGCCGTCTATGGGGTCGCAGAGAGTCGGACACGACTGACACGATTAGCAGCAGCAGCAGCCTGTGTTTTCTCGGGCCCACAAGGTAACCGCCACGTGTGCACCTCCAGTGTGGTCTTCTCCTTCCTCTCTCTGGAGGCGGGGCATGCCCCGTGTGCCCCCCATGGATCTGGCCAGGCTCGCGTGTCACTGGTGACCAGTAGAATGGTGGGAGTAAGGCTGGGACAGCAGAAAAGATGAGATTCAATCAGAAGAGATGAGGTCGGGACTTCCCTGGTAGACCAGTGGTTAAGACGCCAAGATCCAAATGCAGGGGACCTGGGTTCAATCCCTGGTTGGGGTACTAGATTCCAAATGCTGCAGTTAAGACGCAGTACAGCCAAATAAATTTTAAAGAGAAGTCCCACCTGGGCTGGTGGGATGCTCACTTTTGGAGCCCTAAGCTGCTGCAGAAGAAATCAGTCACCAGCCTGGGGCTGCCATGCCGTGAGGAAGCCCAAGCCACATGGAGAAGCCCCCTCACCTGCTACCCAAGGCTCCAGCCCACTGCCACCAAACTGAGGATTCAAGTCCCCAGCTTTTGAGTCTTTTCAGCTGTGGCCTCAGGCACAATAAAGCAGGGACCGGCCCTTCCTGCTGTGTCCCACTGGAATTCCTGAACCCAAGTCCCTGAGCATAAAAACAAAATTTTCCACTGCTGTGTTTGGAGGTGAAGTGTTACATAGAAATGGCAACCCACTCCCATACTCTTGCCTGGAAAATTCCATGGACAGAGGAGCCTCGTAGGCTACAGTCCATGGGGTCGCAGAGTCTAACCTGACTGAGCGACTTCACTGTCACTTTTTGGACACAAGTGGTCACTGGACCCCCTGGCATGCGCCGGTCTTCCCTCTGTTCAGCCAGTCCTTCACTCATTCATTCACAGTACTTGGAATCTCACTTCTCACCCTTTTACTGCTCCTACCTCAGTCCAGACCCGGTCCACGGCCATCGTCTCACTGGCCTCGGTGTGTCCACCCTTGCTCCCTGTAGCCTGCTTTCCACACACAGCCAGAAGGACCCTGGTAAAACCTACATCCAAGCGCAGCACTCTTGGGCTAGACTGTTCCAAGTCCCCCCTCACTCAGCTCCACCCCAGCCATACTTGCCCCCATCATGTTCCTCAAACACCCCGGCCACATTCCTATCTCAGAACACTTGCATTTGTCTCTGCACCTGGAACACTGTTCTCCTGAATATCCACAAGGCACTTTCCTTCACCTCTTGGAGGACTCTGCCCAAGTGTCATCTCTCAGAGAGGCCTTGCAACCCTCCTACTTAAAGATGCAAGCTCCCCACACCAGCACATCCCACTCCCTCCCCTTAGGACTCATCACCTCATGTGCTTGTCTTTTATTTTGGTGTCTGATCCACATCAGGGTACTCTTTCTGGGTCCTTAGCACACAGAACAGGGCCTGATGCATAGTTGTTGTTGTTCAGTCGCTCAGTCTTGTCCGACTCTTTGCGACCCCATGGACTGTAGCACACTGGGCCTCCCTATCCATCGCCAACTCCCAGGGTTTGCCCAAGTTCATGTTCGTTGAATCAGTGATGCCACCCAACCATTTCATC